AAAATGATTCTTTATTAGCTGTACTGTTTTCAGGGTTGTGGAGTCTGTGCCATAGTGAGGCAAGATTAAATACTCCTCCAAAATGAAGAATGAAAATTCTTTCAGCATGCATCTCTGTTGACTTGGTTCTCTGGGGCACATGCTCTCTGCTTCTCGTTGACTTACTGTGGACAATTTAGCAACTACAGTACTCTGATTCATTTGGCTTATAAAATACTCAAAACTCATATTTCCCATATAGCAGTTTTCTTCTTTTCATCTCTGCTTTTGGACCCAGGTAGTTTTAAACTGGTTTTCTAAGTTGGATTGGGGAAGAATGAAGTAGTGTAATTTTGCCCAGCCCAATGGCCCTAGTGCCCCTGGAACAAATGTCAGTAGATGTATTGAACATCCTAAAAATATGCAGCCAAAGCAACAAACAAAATTATTGGAATGGGAGAATAACCAGCTAACTATTTTTGTTATTGTTTTAAAGTTTGATTTGTTTTGTACCATGCAAAAAGTGAGCATAACTCTTGACATTTTTATGTTTGTACCTTGAATATGGAGACCATTATGCCACTGAAGTATAATTTCACTTCAAATATTATAAGACACAAAAGTTTTAGGCTTGTTAAAGCAAATGTGAACATTCTTTCCAGCCAGCCCCAAGAAACAGATCATAATTTAAAACATTTTCATTTGCTAGGAAAGATGTCTATTTTTTATTTTAAAAAAAACTTAATTTATTTAAGTTCTCTCTCCATTGAGTTGTCCAGACTGAGCTCAAACATACAATCTTCTTGCCTCAGCCTCCAATGTGCTGACATCATAGATATGCGTCACCAAGCCCAGCGTACTTGTGTTCTCTTTCTTACAAGTTTTTTTGTCATGCAATACCTACCTGTTCTGGCTTCTTGCTTTACTGCACTAGGATGCTAATGGGAAAAAATATCACTGCATTTATGTGGAAAAGACTTTGATTTGTATCATGAAGTGCTCTGGTAGATTTAAAGTCATTTGAAAACTGATACAATGTATTGGGTATTTTTGCATCTACTGCAGTAATAAGTGCTTTATATAGTAAGACTTTTAATAATTTTTATTTGAAAAAAACTGAATGTGAGAGAATGAAAAGATGAAAATAAAGTGTTTGTAGATGGGGAGGGGAGGAGGGGGTGAAGGGAGGGCAGAGGTAAGGGCAAAAAAATGAGAATCAAGACTTGCCATGTAAAGGTACATGATCCCAACAATGAATGTAACTGTACTGTATCCCTAAATGTACCAATAAACTCAATTAAAAAAAAAAAACTGAATGCTGTTCTGAAGCAGTAACAATAGGTAGTAAGTATTAAGGGCATAGTTAACAAGCATTAAGTTTGTGGGTCTCAGCACTTTCTAAGTAATTTTCAATCCTGTATATGTAATAACCCTCTATCAGTGTTGCGTATTACCCCCCTCGCCACTTCTAGAGAGAGTTCAGGAGAAGCTAAGTATCCTAGTCAAGGCCGCACCACTAGTAAGTATGGACTAGTGAGTGTTGAGTTGGGCTCTGAACCCCTGGCAGACTGTCTGCAGAGCCAGTATTCTCATTTTCAATAGTAAATAACTTCTTTACTGTTTTAACTGAAAGCTATAATGATCCATTTTTAACTGAAGAGTAGATTACTTCTTAAGTCAGTGTTGAAAGTCCATTGCAGTGCATTACCCTGGCCTTCTCACTGTTAAAAGGCTCTTTGGTTCTTATTCGAAACAGATGCAAACACTTAAACCATCCACTCAGACTGCATTTCCCTGTGATTTGCTGGAACATGCCAGGTTGCCTCTGGGAGACTCATTTCTAAGTGACTGATTTCATTCATTCACCTTTAAAAGCCTGTGAATCCATGGGTCTGTTGAAGCTTAGTTTATTAGTATCTCTTGCCAACATCTTGTCTCTGTCTCTTGTAGAAAGCTTTAAGGCAGTTATGAGAAGAAACTGGGTGGGTTTTTCAAAGCACAACTTCTCTGACCAAATCTGTTGGCAAGATACAATGAGGAACTAATGGTCGTGCAGTTTATTCTCACATACTTTTGACTCTAGGAATTATTCATTGCGAGTTACTTAAAAGCCTTTGCCCCTAAACTGGCATTAAATTTAAGATTAAGCGGGTGTTTCCTTTTTTTTTTTGGTACTCTAGGTCAAACTTGGGACCTTGCCCTTGCGAGGCAGACAGCAGAACCACTGAGCTAAATCCCCAGCCCTAAGTGGGCCCTTCCTTTTTACAAATTTTAACTGTTTATTGGTTTCTAGGCTTTTCTGATTGTTTAAGTGTTGTCTCTTATACCTCTGCATGCAAAGTGACAAGGGCAAGAAAATGTCAATATGAGCACACAGCATGGGTAATTCTGTGTCTCTTGTCAGTAAGGATGGATTAATGACAGTGTCATTATAATATGCCCTCCTATGGCAACAAGAATGACTTGGTGTAAATGTTTTGGTAAAACCACAGATTCTGGTTAACAAATAATTCACATCAAGGATTTTAGAGGCTCAAAAACAAAAAATAAAAGAGAATATACTTTGTGCCAATCAAAACATAATATAATGTGTTTTTGTTTTGATGCTTAAGAATGGCCTTCAGAATCTTCTTTTACATGAAGGGTATCTCCATGTTTATAACTTAGAATCATTTATGGGAAATGTTTCAGGAAACAAAGATCATATGTTTGATTACACTTAGATTAACTAAAGTTATGTTTTTGAGGCATTTTAGCTATGAATAGGGAACAGTCTCTTTCACAGTGAAGTCCCAGGCTACCCTGCTATGCCAAAGCTCCACAACTACAGAAGAAATGTAGAGTAGATCTCTTTCTCATAGTAGAATACTTATGATAACTGTACCACTAAATGGTAGCTGAACCTTATTATTTTATCATATCGTCTGTATACTTTTAACATTGTACACTTCCTTGAAATTTCCCGTTCAGTTTCTCCTCCAGAGCTTAGGCTAACTCCTCCATATTTCACCCTCTCTGACCTGACTGGGGTGGCAAATTATCATCTCCATACATTTTAATTTTCTAAGCCACATGTTACATTATAATTTGGATGCTCTCAAAAGAGTTTAAGGTGATCCTGCTTCCGTACAGATGTTAATTTTCAATGTTGAACATAAAGAGTGTCATAGAGGTTTTGAAGTTCCGGTGACCCTCATTTAAATTTGGTTTTGTGTTGATGAGTCTCTGTCTGAGAATTTTGTTATTTTTGGTGTTGGTCTGTTTTCTTGTTACGGTAGGGAGTGACATTTCATTTTTAAGGATGCTTATGACCTTGTTAAATAGCAGTCCAAAAATTGTGTGGCTTGTTTTGATTTTAACCAAAGTTACAGCTGCCTAGCTGTAAAGCAGTCAGTTTCTCTTATTATGACTAGTTCTTCAACTTGTACTGTTTTAAATTGCCTGCAATTAGCATATTTCAACCTTATTTTTAGGTTTAAATTGCAGTGTGAGAGTGTACTCTCCTCTTAGCTAATTAGTGCTATCAAGGAACAGTAGGTTACCTCATTAGTACCATGTGCATTTAATTAAAGAAGAGAAAATTGGAGTTAACCTCATAGTTAATATTTTCACAGAGTGCTACAATGCCAACACCTTCAATTGGAGTCACACCCCTGTGTATCTAATTATGCACTAGTGCCAAATAAGGTTAGCAAGGGTACTACAAGGCTGTTGACAAAATAATTTAGATGAAAACGTGTTTGTTGGATTCTGACAGTAAAAAATAACTTGAGCATTTTTCTCCCAGTCTTCATCTGCCAGCATCAAGTGACATAGTTCTTCATAAGAAATGGAAGGAAAAGGATAGTTTGGAAGCCATTTTTCCTGTCTGAATTATGTTGCTCTTATCCTGAAGAAAATGGCATACAGTCATGTAAAGCATATACGATCCATTACTTCAACAGAGACCCTGAAATTCAGAGATGTATTTGAAAAGAATTATTTATTAGATGTAATATTTACATGCATCAAACCACTACAAATACTCCCTGACACCCTCACCATGTCCCTCCTTGCTTTTCTTCTTTCCTGGTGTAGTTATAATTTCCCCTGTGTATCTTATGAATGGGGATCATCCTTTCATATCACACATGAAGTCTAAGGATGTGTTGTCACATGGTATATTCAAATGCAATGTAATCCTTTTGCCCTTCAGACAAAATCTTTGAAATGTCTAATGCTACTAAGTAAAAAATGACATTCTATGCCATTTATCAATAAATAATCACTTTGCTTTTACAGATAAAAATGCAAACTGTACTATAGAGTATACACAGTAGTTTTCAATGCAAATGCAAAAACTCAACAGGTTTTAACAGGTATGATTGACTGTAGTTCCATAATCTTAGATATATTTTGACAGCAATACTTGTGCTATAGTTACACAGAGCCAGATAGTTTAAAGAGATCATTATGATTGTGTTTACATTTCAACACAATGCAGGCTTTATGTTCCTTGGTGTTAATTATTATTGACTACGAGTGGGCAGTTAACTTTTTTTTTTCAGTACTGAGGATCAAACTCAAGGCCTTGTGCTTGTGAGGCTGAGCAGTAACTTTTACAAAGTTAAATGGAGACAATTAAATTTTAAGGACAGAGCATTCCTTGCTCTAAAATGTCAGTACCATTGAAATCTATAGAAGTATCTATAAATATCAGCCATAATTCTCATTTAGCATTGGGAACTGAAATTCCTAAGGCAGGATCATGATAATCAGTGAACTTTTTGATCATTAAGATTTGATTGTGAGATTCTTTATTATGATCCAAATATGTAAACCGCGTCTACCAAATTATTCCTATTTCTAAAATCTATACTTGTATTAACTGTGAGACAAATGTAGGATAGTCTTGTCTATGTTGTCCTACTGAGATAATAATAATCCTCAAAACATCAATCATAAAAATGATAATATACATTATTAGCATAAGCCTTAGGACTGAAAAAAATCCAACTCCCGATTCTTTTTGTTTAATCTAGGAATTGCTTCCAGAAACAAAATTATGTGTCTGTGGCCACTCTTCTGGTGATGGGCTTCCTCACAACACATTTGCAGTAAGTTCCACTGGACAAATAGCCATACAGCTGCTGAGCACAATGCCATGGGCCCATTTCTATTCATTAGATGAGTTCTGTGCTTCCACTGGCACAAATAACCAAGAGGCAACTGATGTTAAGATACCAATGGAATTGGCTGGTTTTCCATTATTTCTTGTGTTCTGACTTCTCCCATGTTTCATCAGATAAATAGTTCAGTTTCTGTGAGTTAATGATACAAAAGTTCATCTTGATAATGTAAAGTCTGTAACACCAATAGGGTTTTCTTAAACTTTTAGGAATAGTTTGATGAGAAAGTGTTGGTATGCAGAAAATAGATCAATATAGTTTATAGATTGGTCTAATACACATTTTAGAAATATATGCTGTTCCCTGCTCTGCAAGTTGCCCTGTAAATACGCCAAGGCCTAATGTACAGTGTGTGTGTGTGTGTGTGTGTGTGTGTCTTATTACTAGAGTGTGACTTGTCTCTTTGGGGTATAATATTCAGTGAAAATTACATTTTTGACCCATTTTATATACCAGGTAGCCGTGGAATTGAATAGTAATTCTGAAGTACCCCTTCAAAAATTTTTAAATAGAACAGTTTCATGTTTTGGTTTAGCATGGATTCTACACACAGTGTTAAGAAATCTCTGAATATTCAAAATCTTGTATTTTAATAGATTTTTTTGACTTGTTTCCTTATGAATTGATAGTTATTTAGTCTCAATAAGGCAGAGAATTCCCAATTTGGCTCACTCCAAAACTTTTTGATAACCCATGCATAATATCTCCTAACTATAATTGATAAACACAACATAGTTAAGATTCTTATAAACAAACACAATAAACAGTTTTCTGCCTCAATTAAGAATTATCTGATTTCACAGTATAGTTTAAGAAAATAGCATTTTATAATATAAATATGATCAAATTGATATGGAGTTCTATTATTTGTGGAAAATATCTAACATTTTCAAAACTGTTGTCTACTATGTAAAAGCCAACTCAGAAGTGGATACAGGAATAGCATATATATTATGGAAATAGTGAATATAGAAAATTGATAATAAATGTTGTTTGTGAAGGGTTTGAGATTATGTGAAATGATCTGATTTGAGATCTTACTCCTTTTAATACTGAAGTGTTTGGCCTTGAACTTTTATTGTAGTAATATTTGAAAAAAACAGTACACATTAAAAAGTTATGGCTTTGCTGAACTGCTAGAATTAAATTTATATGAAAGGTTAAAATAATCTTAATTTCTAACTAATCTCTGTATAGTTTAAAGGAAGAATAATTTAATGTAAACTTCAAACCTAATTATGTACTTTAACTTAATAAAGAAGGTAAACCCCAAAATACACTTTAAAAATTAGTACATTAAAAGTGGGTCAGTGTTTCCAATTTGTACCACTTTTATTAGTGTGAATTATGAACAGACGTAACTACTATACTCTATTCTTTATGTAAAACTACTTGTACCATTTCTCAAATCTCTGTCCTAACTGGTGAAAAGAAATGTGTGTATTTTTGCTGACAAATTTCCAGAATGGAGGTTAAGACTTGGATAAAGTAAGTAGCTCACCCAAAGGTCATAATATTCATCAAGCCAAAGGCCGAATTACACTTTGCGATGACCAGTGTTACTGGGCTTTCCAAAGCTGTGCCAAATTATTCATGGCTGCCTTGAGCCCCTGTACGGAATAGGAGTCTGCTGTCCCCTGTGCCTGAGACTCACCTGGTCTCCCCAGGAGAGACAGTGCTGCTGAGTAGCAAGCCCCACTCTGGCCACAGAGGCAGAGAAACCTTGCAGTGCATGTCAGGTGTGCTCCCCCATCCTGTGGGGTTCCAAACTGAATGCTTCACAAGAGTGATGAGCGACTTTGCAGAATGATGCATCTTGGCTTTACAACTCAAGAGAAATACACTTAAATATTATTAAGTAAATGCTGGTGTTTCTTTATTGATTACATTGGATATAAACTTTCTACGAACTAACATGGCTATATAACATGATTTAAAATTGAGAAGCAAACTAAAACAAGCACCATGTATTATTCATAGCTGACAATTCCTATGTGATGGGCATGGCTCTCTTTTAATATTCATTAAATTTTAAAAGTATCAATATCCTGGAGTGGTAATCTGCTAAGTAGGATCATTGGTGGACTGAAAGGAGGAAAAGTGTAAAAAATAATAAAAATAGGCACCTAAAGCCAATTGCATCCCTTTATCATCAGTGTGCCTAACATTTGTACAAAATTGTGAACTGTTTGAATAGTTTGCAAATTTTTCTGGGGCCCCACATAATACCTATCAATAAGCTAATTTAATATCATAAATAAAATTTCATGGATTGTGAACATTCACAAATAAAATGCCACATTTTTCAGATATGTGTTTCAAAATGTCACACAAAATGAGTTTTTCACTCTCTCCACCTATACTTGCTTAAAAATATAATCCTTTAAGTTTGTTAACAAGCCTGAAGTCAAATAACATAAATTGCAAGCGGGAAGAAACACGTCCTACATGTAGATAAAACTCTGAATTACCTTAAATAAATAGTATTACATGTGTCCTATAAACAGATGTCAAAAATTCTCCATCATGTTATCTTCTTTCATGCATCAACAGTATCAAGTTATTAACAAAAGGTATAATACAAATACAGTATGCTTCACAGGGGTATTTTTTCTGTTTGGGGTTTGTTACTAATCATTAGGCATTAGCCATTCTCAGAATACTATACATCTAATATCACATTATTGAACAGTAGTAATATTTTATATATCAAGTAAATTGTACTTACTGTCTTTCTATGAATTCATTGCAATACTTGGCATTAATGTGGAAACTGTCATCTTAAAGTCTACCTACATTTTGTACTGAAAATATTTGCGATCCATAGGATATACATTTAATATTCTAAGCATAATAAAATAACTTTATTATAATTTTGATTTCTCCTGAAAAAAAAGCATCGATTTCTAGTTTTGTATGACAAGAGAATGAGAGTAAGAGAGCTTCACTGGCAAGATTGCTATACAATACTTTTCTGTTAGTGTGGGTTTACAGTACAGAACACTTTGTTGCAAATTGGAGACAGCACATCTTCATCATTTTGGATCCCTTCCCACTCCCTCCCATCCTTTTCTCCTCCTCCCTCTGGTCTCCTTCCAAATCTCCCAAAAGGTCTGCCTTCTTGTTTTCTATCATTTCCCCCTTTTTTACTTTTAAATTTACTTGTATGTTAAGTTTCCTGAATAAGAGTAATCATGCAATGTTTAACTTTCTGTATCTGACTTATTTTACTTAACATTATGGTCTCAAGTTCCAGTCATTCTCTTGCAAATGGCATGATTTCATTTTCTGTACACAATGATTCTTTTTCATAGGCTTTTCAATTAGCATATGTTTTAACTCTAATTGGAAAAAAACTTGCACTTACATTACTCTTCTGTCAAGCTTTAGTACTTCGGTAAATTCTTTTTATTTTATCAAAGAGCTTGCAACTGTCTACTGTCAAGATTGTCAGTTTTAACCTTTGTCTTCCCTACCACTAGAGAGAGTTCCCTTCTCTGTAACTAGACCCTCTTGACACCTCATCTGCCCAAGTCACCTCCTCACTGCCTACCTGCAGATAATCTTGTTGTTGTTGGTCCAACCTACAAGATTTTACATCTAAATAGATACTATTTTGCATAGAATTTTGCCTGTTAACTCTAACAGACTAAGAACATTATGAAAAATGCTTAATGTCGTCTTTTGGGTTTTGTTTTTAAAGCTTTTAGAATAGAGCCAAACAAATCTTTCTAAACAAAAAATTTTGCACCTATAAACTAAAAATGAAATTTAGCCAGCCTTCATATTGCACTCAAATTAAATTTAATGACCACGAGATCTTTCACCCTCCAATTCTTTACTGTGTTGTGACTACCTACAAATGTTTCACTTTAATGAGAATCCTGATTTTTTTTTTATATCCTTTCTCCAATTCATATTTCTCACTCTTTTTTTTTTTGTACGGGGGATTGAACTTGGGACCTTCCACTTGCGAGGCAGGTGGCACCACTGAGCTAAATCTCCAGATCTCCAGGCCCTCCAATTCATCTTTCTCTTTAGATTTTGCATAAATCCTGTGAAGCACCAAAAATAAATTTCATGGGCTGTGAAGTCAGTGGATGGAATATTGAGGAAAATTCTTGATCTTTTTAAGCTTTATTTTCTCAATTTGTAAAATTAAAAACATTAATATTACTTACCTCTTAGAGTGGCAACAGGGATTAATTTTGATAAGCCCGAAAAGTTCTTAGCCTGACCACTAATACATAGTAAGTGTGCAGTAGATGTAGAGTCTGAAGGAGAATCAGTGTACTCTGGCTTGGACAAAGTGGAAATTCTGATTGAAATAAATTAAAATATATATTTGGTGTTAACACTAAAATAGGTAATGACCATTATTCTGTCATGGCTACAATAGAAGGCAGTATTCCCCTCTAATAAGAAATTATTTATATTCATTAGTTCAAGTTAAACAGTAACTTAGAAAAATCATTATTATTCAGATTCTTTGCAATTTTTCATGGAAAGATAGTTAAATAGACTAGACCCCCCTAAGAAAATTGCCTCAAAAAACCTAAATGATGTTTTCCTGGCAGACACAATGTTTATAGCAGCACAGTTCATCAGAGCTAAATCCTTAAAGCAGCCTGTATAAGCATGAACAGATGATTGGATGAAGAAAATGTGGGACCTGTACATAACAGAACTACACTACTGAGCCATAAAGGAGGACACAGTTGAGATATCTATAGGAGAATGGATGCACCTGGAAAATATAATGTTGAGTGAAATAAGCCAGACACAGAAATTTAAATACCATATCATCTCATTTGAGCAAAGCAAAGTACAAACAAAAAGAAAATGAAGGAAGGAAGAAGACAAGTGGATGGGGCTCTGGCAAATAGGAAAGGCTCCAAGAGACCAAGGACAAGCAATGAAAAGAGGAGGA